TCTCGACATGATCAACCTCTTTATCCGCATCCTCGAGATTGTGGGCAAGCGCAAATGAAGCCTCGTCTGTGTGTCACAAGTGTCTGTGTCTCTGTGAGAGTGTGTGTGTGTGTCTCTCTCTCTTTCTGTGTGTCTGTGTGTCTGTGAGTGAGTGCGTGAGTGAGTGTGCTGCGACACCGTGTGCTGTGACATCGTGCACATGCCTTGCAACCCTTTGCGCCATGTAACAACACTTTTCGTCGCGTGCTTTTGCGTGAGACACCCATGCACCCGCGTGATGCCTCGCTTCTGCCATCCTGCCGTCCTTTCATCCGGTCTTGTGCACGTGTCTGCTTCTGCGTTTTCCTTGCGCTGCAGTTCTTTTCCTCTTCTTGTTCTTCTCCTTCTTCCCAACCCCTTTGCTTGCTTGCCCCATGCTGTTTATTGCTTGTCTTGTCTTGCCACCCATACGTGTCGCTATGGTTGCTTCGGGTGTTGTTGACCATGTATTTTGTGCTTGCAAGCACCCGTACGTTAATGGACACAAAGTGGGCAGGGACGCCCTTCCTTATTCGAGTTCAAAACATAAACACAACATGCTAGCCCTGGCTGACCCCCCAACCTATACCGCAGTATTAAGCTCTCCCAGCGCGGCACACCTCTCACAAACACATCACACTCACTCACTCACTTCCACTCACTCACTTCCACTCACTCACGTGCACACACACACACACGCGCGCACTCACTCACTCACGTGCTCACTCACGTGCTCATACACACACATTCCGCACGCCTACACGGCGTCTGTTCTGCTGCCGCGTGGGAGCGCCATGGTCGCATATGAGATGGTGCTGTGTGCGGTGGTGCTCGGGCGAGCGCGCGCGCGTGCTGCCTCTGCGGCTATCGCCGTTTTCGCCGATGGAGGGGGCGGTGGCGACTGCTTTGCTCCTTGTTGCATCACGGCGTATGGGTTCGGGTTGGGCGCAGAGGGGCGTGGTACATTTGCGTTGTGCATGTCGCAGTAGCTGTCACGAGGACAACAGAAACAGCAAAGGTGATAATGACAAGGAAAAAGAAAAGGACAACCACAATGAGTGACCAATGAACTTGATGTTGAACACGCGAGCACAGAATTCGCGCAACGTTTGAGCGCGCACACACACACACACACACACACACACATGTTGAACCGCAACACAAAACTGCAAAGGCCATTAACAGACAACGTCGTATTCGCTCGTGACTTGTGCTTCCATATGACACCCTATGCTCTCTCCCTTCAACACAGTTGTTGCTGCCAAGTCTCACCTTTCCGGCACATAGTCTTCGTCATCATCGTCGTCATCGTGCGGAGATTGCAGGACAAGCTTGTTCTGCTTCAGCAGCGAGGAGAGTGTGGCCGGGCTCTTTGAGGCGTTGCTTGCAGGCACGCTCGAGGCACTAACGGTTGCACTCGCACGTGCTGCGGCGGCAGACGGGTTCAGCATGCTTGGGCGCGCATTGGTCGGTGGCTGGTTGACGCCAGCCATATCGCAATAGCTAATTGTTGAAAACAGAAGCAAACCACAAATTGAGGTGAGTGAGGAATGGTGAGTGAGCGACGATTTAGTGAAAAGGTGCGAAGAGGAAGTTGGCTGTGATGCGACGCAAGACGCTGATACACCACAACACAGGCAAGCCATAGCACACGCACACACGCACACACACATACACACACGCACGCACACACAGACACATACACACATACACACACATACACATACACACATACACACACATACACATACACACGCGCGCATCAAAGCACCTTTCTTGGTGGTTCAGGGGTGCGCGTCCAACGGCGTCATTCTGCACATATGCGTTCCCGCCCTCTTGGTAATGGTTGTATTGGACGGAGGACTTGGCGGCACTGGAGACACGGCCCATTTGTCCGGGCCACTCAGCATAGCGGACATTGCCATCTGCTGTGTCATCATCATCGTCATCATCGCCGTGTTGTTGAAGGTGGAGCCCAACACCAGCAGCAGCCGCGGCTGCACCGCCATCGCTTGTTGGCATGCCTGTGACCTCACTGATGTTGTTGTTGTTGTTGAGGTCGTTCGCAAACACGCCGAGCTTGCCGCCGACGCTGCACTCCAGAAGCGGTGTTTGCTCTTGTGCCTCCAGCATATTCCCCAGGTTGGTCAGACGCTGTAGCATTCACGACAAGGAGGTGGGCGTGGGTGGTGATGAGTGATGGTGAGCGATGAGCAGATGCGAGAGAAGGCAACCGGGGGGGGGGCTTGCAACCAGTGAAAGTGTGTGCGGGGAAAGCCAAGCAAGCAGACACAAACAAGCACCTGCGCATTCACGTTCAATCACACGATCGTAATCAGTTCAATCACACGTTCCCAATCACATGGTCTCCACGCACACGCACACACTTTTTCCATCTCGCTGAAGGAAGGCCTGTCTTCGAGCTGCCAGCACTCCCACATGATGTCGAACACGCCATCCGGGCACCCTGGCGGCTGATCAAGACGACCACCGGCAACAACGTCCTCAAAGACCTGCGCATTGGATTTGCCCGGGTACGGCATGCACCCATATGTCATTGTCTCCCACAGCAGCACGCCCATCGCCCACAAATCTGCCATTTGTGTGTGTGTGTGTGATGTGTGTGTGTGTGATGTGTGTGTGTGTGATGTGTGGTGTGGTGTGGTGTGTGGTGTGTGGTGTGTGTGAGGTGGAGGAAGAGATGAAGAGACAAAACACAACACAGAGCGCGTGGACGACACTGCTTTCAAATCGGGGAGGGTAGTCAAGCCTTGAGCAAAATATCAGTGCTGAAGCCACAAACACATGCATGCACATAAACACACACAATAACACATGCATGCACTAACACACACACACACGCACGCACGCACGCACACACACAAACACACACACAAACACATGCATGCACAAAACACACACACACACACACACCTGACTCGACGGTGTATCTGCCGTTACAGAGAGTGTTTGGATCCATCCAGCGGATTGGGAGCAGCGCCTGGCCGTTTTTGCGGTAGTAGTCGGCATAGTTGAGCGAACGCGAGAGACCAAAGTCTGCCACCTTTGTGGTCAAGTCCCCTGCAACGAGGCAGTTCCGGCACGCAAGATCCCTGTTTGGTGGTTGTTGGTGTGTGATGCACAGCGTGCAGGCAGTTGTGGTCGTGAGCGACGAAAGTGGGCATGGTGAGAAGGAACGAGAAGAGGGGACATGCGCGTTACATACGAACAACGACGGGCCAGTGCGTAACACTCAAAACATCCACATTGCGCCTCACAAGATAATAGGTGTGGCACGCGTTCGCGTTCATGCGTGCGTGCAGGCAACCGATTTGGACCCACTCCCCACACAACATTGTTACCTTCTCTCTTGATCTCTCACCCCTCCTCCGGCTTCTCCGCCTTCTTCCCCGTAGCCCCATCCTCTCGCACTCTGTCTCGTGTGCTCACCTGTGGATGAATTTGTGACTGGAGAGGAAAGCCATGCCAGATGCTACGTCAGCTGCCATGAAAACGAGGTCGGACATGGCGAGAGAGCCGGGCTTGCCGTCACGGGGCCGGTTCTTGCGCAGGAACGAGCGCATGTCTCCGTTGGCCATAAACTCTGTGATGATCATGAGTGGCTCAGATTGCGTAATGACACCCAGGAGCCGCACGACATTTGGGTGGAACGGGTCCGAGAACTGTTTCATGAGCGTGGCTTCCTTCAAAAACTCATTCTTGTTTGCAATGGTGAGGGCATCGTCCTCTGCGGGCGAACACTGCTTCACGGCGACCTGTTGTGGTGCAATCGTGGACAAGAGCGCGCATATGATGGCGCATGTGATGGGGAATGAGAGCATGCAATGAATCGGGAAGAGGGTTCGCTGAGCTAGCAGGACGTGCAAAGCAACAAGAGGGTGTGATCCACAAGAAGCGAGCATTACATTACTCTCAACACATACGCAGGCACATGCATAAACACAACACAACAAACATACAAAAACAAGCAAAGCAAGCAAAGCAAAACAAAGCAAGCAACCAAAGCAAACCAAAGCAAACCAAAGCAACCAAACCAAACCAAACCAAACCAAACACACGAATGCATACAGCATGCCCCAATGCGTCGATTGTGGATCGTGTCATGGCTTACCGTGACGAGGCCGTTCATTTCGCGAATGCCGTTGACAACGCCTTCAAACACGACGCCAAACGCGCCCTTGCCCAGCTCAGCGCCGAGCGACAGCCGCTGTGGATCATACTCCCACTCATCAGGGGGCGGTGCCTTGAACGTTTCAGAGGCCAACTTCTCCAGGCGGCGCGAGCGGCGTCGGACGACAACAACCACAATGACGATGATGATCATCAAGAGCCCGCCAGCCGCGCCGGACGCGACCGCCGGCGACAACAGGACGTCGAGGAAGGAGTTGGAGGACCCAGAGGAAAGCGCAGGAAGCTCGGACCACTCACCCTCGCCTTTCCTGTAGGGTTGTTTTGAGATTGAAAGGTGGAATGAGAGCGTTGGGTCAGTTGGTCAAGTATTGGGGTTGTGTGGTCACATCAAACATTGCACGAACAGATGAGTGCACATGGACAAGCAATGGATTAGTTGTGACTTGTGACCACTCCTTGGATGCAAGCATATAGGCGGGAATCGATGACAGTGTACGAACAAACACAGACGCACACAGACACACACACGCACACAGACACACACACACTCCACCAGCTTGCTCCGATTGACCGAAATTCATCACCTCTTCGCCGCTTTGCACCCACGCTATCCGTCGCCCAATCCTTCCTCACCCACGAATTCTCACACCCTCCCTCTCATCAACATGCAACAAACGCCACAAAACGAAGGAACGTACGCTGTGACGGCACGGATGCGAATGAGGCGCGAAGGGAGGCTGACTGTGGCGGCAGTGACGTTGCCAGCAAACGAGTGCGACACGCTGCCGTTTCCTTGCAAGTCCTCATCCTGGATGATGTCGTACCGGAGGATGGCACCAGGTGCCGGCACGAGCGGCTGCCACGACACCTCCCACTCGCCATTCTCCAGCTTGTTGCCAAAGGACACCGGGGCCATCTTGCCGGGAACGCCCTCATCGGTCTGCGTGCTTGCAAGCAAGAGCGGACTTGAACCCTCCGCACTCACGGCTGAGAGGGAGAAGTCGTACTTGGTGTAGGGAAGGAGATCCGGGATGCGGATATTGAACTGGCTGTCTGGCACGGTCAGCTGGCTAGTGAGGGGCTCAGTTATGTTGTACATGTACACGCCCGTCTCCCCGCGCTCGCTAGTGTAGTCCACACGAAACCCCGTGATGACGGTGGTGAGCGGCTGTGGACGCGACACTTGCAGCGTGACAGAGGACGGGGAGCCGGCGTGGTCGGCCGTATGCAGGCGCGGTGGCGTTGTTGGGCGGGCGCGGGGCGTAGTCACGTGAATGGTGACGCCCGGACCAAGGAATGCCGTGAGCGCGCGCACCGTCACCTGGTACGTTGTCCAGGGCTTGAGGCAGTGCGTGGTGTTGCTTGTAAAATCATAATAGCAGCCCTCGAGGTCATACGCGGATGACGAGGCGTCCTCGTCTGTGTTGCCGCCGCCGCCCCCGCTGCTGCTGCTGCTGCTGTTTGGCACATACACGCGCTGCTTCGTATCTGGGGTGAGCAGCTCGCTCTCGAAGCGCGACGTATCAAGCTGGTTCGAATCTGCCAGGATCCCGTTGAAGTCACCAGATCGCCTGATGATTGTACATGTGTGTGCACATGTGTTTGTGACGACGACAGCGGTGTGATATCATGGAAAAACAAGCTTTGTGTTGTTGGCGCTTGCGGGCATATGCGCCACACATACACACATACACACACGCACGCACACACACACACACACGCACACACATGTACACACACGCACACACGCACACACGCACACACGCACACACGCACACGCACGCACCTGATTTGGAGCTGGTAGCCGAGGACATCTGCGGTGTAGCGCGACGACTGCTGCGGGCGCTGCCACGTGACGCGGGCGGATGAAGAGGAGACGCTGCCCGGGCCACGCCCCCGCTTGTGCGCACCTGTTGCATTGCGTACGTACAGGTTGAGGTCATCTGCTTGCGTCATGATGCCATTGCTCTCGACGCGACGCGTTCCAATTTGACCTGTCAACAGATGAAGAAAGCAACAGGGTGGAAAGACAACAATGATTGCCACGGTGAGTTAGACATGATAGCCATGATATTAGTGCTGCTGCAGATACTACAGAGGGAGTGGGAGAAGCAAAGATGCTGCTGTTGACATTTTCACAAAACAAACAAACAAACAAACAAACACGCAAACAAACACGCAAACAAACACGCAAACAAACAGACAAACACACAAACAAACACGCAAACAAACAAACAAACACACAAACAAACACGCAAACAAACAGACAAACACACCAACTGTACGTGTGTGCCAGTGAATGCACGATGTAGTAACTCACCAACGACGCGCACTTCGTATCGGAGCTCGGGCTGGAGACAGTTGCGTGCACGCAGGGAGATGGCGTTGCCCGTGACCTGTTGGCACGTGTCGATGCCGGCCGCCTGCTTGCCGCGGACAGAGAGAGACTTGTACTGGAACAGCTGTGCAAGCGCGTCCTCAGAAATGCGTGCAAGCACGCCCGCTTCTCCAGACACGAGACGCGATGACGCAAGATGAGCAGCAAACGCGTTCACCTGCTCCAGGGGCGCGCGTGGCGCATACTCCACGCGGTAGTAGACCACCTTGGCCTCCTCTGCATCAACATACTCCATGGCGCTCTTAATGATGCCGCATGTTTTCACGCAAACAAACAGACAAACACACAAACAAACATGCAAACAAACAGACAAACACACAAACAAACACGCAAACAAACAGACAAACACACCAACAAACAGGCAGAAACACAGCACAAAAGTCACAATTGTACGTGTGTGCCAGTGAATGCACGATGTAGTAACTCACCAACGACGCGCACTTCGTATCGGAGCTCGGGCTGGAGACAGTTGCGTGCACGCAGGGAGATGGCGTTGCCCGTGACCTGTTGGCACGTGTCGATGCCGGCCGCCTGCTTGCCGCGGACAGAGAGAGACTTGTACTGGAACAGCTGTGCAAGCGCGTCCTCAGAAATGCGTGCAAGCACGCCCGCTTCTCCAGACACGAGACGCGATGACGCAAGATGAGCAGCAAACGCGTTCACCTGCTCCAGGGGCGCGCGTGGCGCATACTCCACGCGGTAGTAGACCACCTTGGCCTCCTCTGCATCAACGGGCTTTGACCAGGCAAGCTCAAGCTTGTCTGTGCGCAACACAGAGTTGAGCGAGATACCATAGTTGACGCCGGACCCCACTTGAGGCAGCCTCGTCGGTGCATCACGCAATGCGATGCGCGCATAGGCGAACCCGTACACAATCGCTGCAAGCCGCTGCTCCAGGATGCCAGAGGCGGTAATTGCCGTCAGGTTGGCAGCAATGCGTGTGCTCTCCTCAAGCGTGCACTGGACAGTGGCAGTGATGGTGGGCATAGATGGTGATGTTGATGATGTGGATGAAGATGAGGACGAGGACGATGAGAGCTGTGTGAGGGAGGAAGCGCCAGAGAGGATGCTTGTAGTCACGCTTCCGGTTGCATCGCTGTGAAGCGTCAGGTACGCGGAGATGCGAGCGTCCTCAGAGGTGGGCAGCAGATCTGCCAGCACACCTTCAAAGTCGTCCGTGCGGAATGCAGTTGACGTCATTTCGGGGACGAGGAACGTTGCAACAACAGACACGTTTGCACAGGGCCCGCTGCCAAACGGATAGCCGTGCTCGCACAGGCGGTCGTTGTCGCTGACGTACACGCTGTCGGTGAGGGACTGCTGGAGGTGTGGCAGGCGCGCGTCCACGAGGCGGCGGTTGCCGCGGATGAAGATGCGCTCGGCAGAACGGATGTTGTGCAAGGGCCCGAGGGACACGAGCCAGGCGTTGTCGATGACCATGAGCGTGCCGTCCACGCGCGTGATGCTCAGCAGCGGGTCGAGCACGGAGTCGGCGACGAGGGGAAAGTTGATGATGCCCAGGTTGTCCGTGACACGCGTGCAGCCCTGCATGGCGAGCACGTGTGAGGGCTGGGAGAGGATGCCGCCAGCACACAGGCGCGGGCACTCGCTCGCGCTGCCGCTGCAACGTGCCGAGCAGAGCGGAGCGCTGTTGTTGGTGGCGACGGTGAAGAGTGGACACGGGACTTTGCAGGTTGACGCGTCGTATGCAATGTCCACGCGGTCCGAGTTGATCCACCACGAGCCACCGGTGTCCTCGGCAGAGAGGCAGAGGGGCGGGTCGTTGTTGCGGATGCGCATGCTGCCCACGCTGATGGTGGCAAACAGGTCAAACAGGTGCTCCCCGGCCAGGGAGAAGTTGTGGTTGTTTGTCAGGGCGAGGGCGACGTCGAGGTTGCTTTGGTCCTCTTCTTGCTGCTGCTGCTGTTGCTGCTCGGTGTTAATGGATGTGTCGTCCGCAGTGGTGAGGCGCAGCTGGCTGCTGACGCCTGTTGCAACACCGCGCAAGTGGGTGAGGTGCGTGGCACCAAAGCCAGTGCAGTTGTTGACGGTGAGGGTACCCTCGACCTCTGCCAGGGAGGCGAACGCGGCCGCCCACTCGGCGCTTGCGCGGTTGATGTGCTCGAGTTGGATTGAGCCGGCCCACGACACGCAGCGAGCGCGGGCGAGGGCGAGCATCTGCTGCCACGTGGTGATGGTGCCGATGTGTGTTGTGGCGTTTAGGAACAGGGTGTCGGAGAAGCAGGCGTTGCTGCCCGTGGTCAGCGATTGTGGCGAGACGCTGCCGCCCTCGCGGGTCACAGCGACGGGGATGGTGGTGGTCAGTGATGTCGTGGTGTTGGTGACGAGGAGGGTGTACGCGACGGCGTTTGCCGTGGTGTGGTGCTGGCTGGGCTGCAAATGCAGGTGCACGGTTGATTTGTCGTCGTGGTCGAATTGGAGGGAGAGCAGGCTGATGGGGACGGGCGGGAACACGCCTTCTTGGAGCTGCAGCTGCGGCAGGAGATTGTCTGAGACAGACTGCTGTGTGGCCACCTTGTTGCCGTTGCTGGTACCGTCATCTTGAAGCCTCAAGCTGAGCGTCACGGTTCGAGTTCGCGTGCTCGCGTCTATTGTCAACCAAGCGTCGTCCACTTCTGTGTTTTTGGTCGTTTGGTTTGTTTCGGTGAGTTGGTTTTGTGTTTGTTGAGTTGAGTTGGCTGCGTGAGTCAGCGAAGGTTCGAGTAAGAACGGTAAGGAGGATGAACAGACACCTGCTTGTGTGGACATGACACACACACACACACACACACACACACATCCATGTACCTTGAGCGGTGCAGGGAGAAGCCATGAGCGTGGCTGTGCTGACCATTGTCAGCAGCAGCACCAGCGCCGTGATGACGCCGCGGTGCATCATCGTCTGCTTGTTCCTCTGTGTGCGCGGTTGGATTGCTTGTTGCTGGCTTGCTTTGTGGGTTGGTTGGTTTGCTTGATTGATGTTTCGTGGTGAGTGCTTCTGGTCGTTGTTGTCGTCGTTGTTGTTGTCGTGGTGGTGGTAGGAGAAGTGAGGCAGGCAGGCAGGAAGGAACAATGCGTGCCTTGCTTGGTCTGGTTCGGGTGACATGACCAGTGCTGCATTCCATCGCTGCTGCTTTCCCCCCCTTTTCGCTGCTGCGCGCTAACAGTCCTGCCTTTGTCAAGCAGACCACGACTGACGTGACGAATGCTTCAAGCAGATTCGTCCGGAAAATTGGGTCGCGAAAAGTGGCGAAGTCATCAATACTTAAACAACACCACAAAGTGCACCACCAAACCCCTCTTAAAATACCATCGAATTCATCAAAGAGCCCGCTAATCTTCTTTACATGATTGCATTCGCAAAAAAAGTTGGTTGCGCACTTCTTCACTGGCTTGGCTTTGTTCTTCTGTGCGCCAAACTTTCCCACACAGAAGAAGCGACGCGACGCGCTGCTGTTGTTTCCCTCCATTCATTCCCTGAGGAAAACCGAAGACGACACAACAACACCCTTCTCCCCTTGCTTGTGCTGCTTACCCTCTCCTCCCATCGTCGAGACTGCGCGACACATCAGTCAGAGTACGTTTGGTGTGCTCTGTGTGTGTGTGTGTGCAAGTGTGAAGGAGGGTGTCTGTGTCTGTGTGTGGGATGGGGGTCTTTGTGAAACAGCACGTGTTGGCAGCGAGGGCTACTCCCTCTGCACAACAAGCAGTGGTGTTTTGGCTTTGTGGCGTGCTGATCAGCATCGAGTAGCCGTGTGGCGTGGCGTTGCACAAATATCTGTGTCTGTGTGTGTGTCTGTGTGTGAGTGTGTCAAAAGGACGCTGTTTGTGGCCACTGTTGGCTGCCTGGATCTTGTCGTCGTCACACTTACACACCACACACACACTGACACACGCACACTTAAACACCAAAACACACTGACACAACACACACGTGCGAACAGATGGTGTCGGTCCGTTTTGTGGTGGCGGCTGTGTTCGCTGCTGCATTTGCTGTGGCCGTGTTTGGCGCACAGCCTTCCTCTGCCAAGGCCTGCAAGGACTTCCAAACATGCACAGAGTGCCTGAACGACGGCACAAAGTACTGCGGCTGGTGCCACATGGACGTCGTCTACAAGAACCAAACCATCGGCACCAAATGCGTGGACATCCGTGACTCCTGGTCCTGCCCTTCCATCTTCGACACCGCCGGCTGTACCCCTGGCTACTACGTACGTCTACCCGCCGCGTGAACGCGTGTGTGCGAGCGCATGTGCACCGTATGTCTGTATTTGGGCGGAGAGAAGGAAAAGAAGGAAAAGATGAGTCCAGTGGAGAGACCTATGAGTGAGTTGAGACTCGGATGAGTCATGTACGTACAGAGAGGCTGGTGTGACTTTGTGAGAACGAATGTTGTTCGTTGCACTCACTACTGAGCTCTCACTGACCAATACTTCACGCTGACGTTTCCTTTCCCCCTCCTCCTTCCCCCTCGCCACTTTCTGGCTTTTTTTGCCCAGTGCAACTACACGACTGGCCAGTGTGCCCAGGCACCTGCTGGCAGTGGCATGTACGGCAACTACTCGTCGTGCATGGACCACTGCTTCGTCACCCCGGACACCTACATCTGTAACACGACCACATACCAGGTCAGCTTTACCCCATTGCGCCGATTTCTCGCACACGTGACACACATCATATCATGCAACTCGCACAACGACAAACCAAAACAAAACACACACACACACACACACACACAGGACCCTGCACACACACACACACATGCACGCACACGCACACACACACACACACACACACACACACACACACACGCACACACACACACACACGCACACGCACACACACACGCACACACACACACACACACACACACTCACTCACTCACGCTCACACCTCTCTCCAACCCTCCTCCCCCCCCCTGCTTTCGCAATATGCAGTGCGTCAAGTGCAAGCACCCGAACGACCCCGGCTGTGCATCCAAGGGCGAGGCGTGCGCCAACTGCAACGCCCCACCTGGTCAGCTCTTCCGCTGCGACCGGTCCGACCCATCAAACCCGACATGCGCCGCCTGCCACCCACACGACCCGCACATCAAGAACTGCACCGACTTCCACAAGGCGTGCGACAACTGCCAGATTCCACCCCCGTCCCCGCCGTCCCCACCATCGCCACCATCACCACCATCCCCACCATCACCACCACAGCCGCAGAAGAACTACACGTGCAACACCAAGACGATGCAGTGCGAGGAGTCGACGCCCGGCCAGCCGCTGGTGGCATGCGAGGCGCGCTGCTCCAACTCAACCCCGCCGTCATATGTGGGCATGTACCGTGGCATCCAGGCACAGACCAACTACAAGTCGGGCGAGTTTGGCTTTGACTTCAAGAACAGCACCGTGGTCATCCGCGACAACAACGGCAACGACGTGCACGGGCAGGTGTACGTGCTCGACGACACCAAGATCAAGCTGCTGGACGGCCCCAACAAGGGCAAGGTGCTCACAGTCGACTTCCGCAGCGTGGACACGGGCCCGGAGACCACGGCCTTTGCCCTCATGGTCAGCAAGCCCGACGGCAACCTCACCTACTCGCTGGAGGACGCCATGAAGGGCAAGAACGGCGAGACGGTGTACTTCCTCTCCCGTTGCAACTCGTGGAAGAGCAAGCTGTGCAACTTTGCGCCCGCCTTCCAGTGGCTGCTTGACATGCGCGCGCGCTTTGCCCGCCACGTTGCCGGCATGGCCCCTGCTGCCAACGCCAACGACGACGAGGACGGTGTCAGGAAGTACCACCCCAGCACTGGCACGGGCGCGAATGATGTGAGGCGGCTGCACTACGACACGTACGCGCACGAGGCGCTGTCGCCGCTGGAGAACGACCCGTGCAACAAGTACCTCGACTGCAGCTCGTGCATTGCCGCGCACGAGGGCGACGTGTCATGCGGGTGGTGCCTTGGCGGGCAGATTGTGTACAACACCACGGGCAAGTCGCAGTACAAGTGTGCCGGTTACGAGAAGGGCAAGGCGCCGCCGTTCACGTGCACCAAGGACTTCCGCACCGAGGACTGCAGCGGCTACTCGTGCGCCTGGAACTCGTCCACCCCGCAGTGCTACAAGAGTGACAACGGCCAGTACCCAGACATGCAGACGTGCCAGAAGACATGCCACGCCTCGCAGATGGCCAAGTGCAACAACCAGACCAAGCAGTGCGAGACATGCACCAAGGGCCCCGGCTGCCAGCAGACCATGGCGCAGTGCGACGCCACCTGCAACGTGCCCCACGCCAAGTGCAACCTCACCACCCACCAGTGTGTGTCGTGCGACCCGGCCACCGACCCAGACTGCGTCGACACCAAGGGCGCGTGCGACGAGAAGTGTCGCAAGGCGTCCACCTACGGCATCTGCGATCCAACCACGGGCCAGTGCGTCCCCTGCGACCCATCCCAGCACGAGGTACGTCATGTCTGTTGACCATGCGTGTGCGTGTGGGTGTGTGCGTGTGGGTGTGTGATGTTTGGGTGTGCGTGTGATGTGTGGGTGTGTGATGTTTTTCGTCGTGTTCACAACGCTTCATTGTGGCGGTCGTCATCATCTTTATCATCATCACCATCCATCGTTGCTGCCACCCATTTCCAATCTTCCACCCACTCACCCACTCGTTTGCTATCGCTCCACCTCTTCATTTGCGATGAGTGCAGAAGGGCTGTGTGCAGAACTGCAACAACACGTGCTCCTTTGGCGGCCTGTACGGGTGCAACGTCACGGACCACACGTGCGTGCAGGGTCTGGGCACCATGACCCTCCCGGACTGCGTCAACGAGTGCGTGCCCCACAACCACACGGGCAACTACGGCTGCGACTGGTCCAACCCAGATGCCCCCGTGTGCAAGGAGAAGAAGGGCCACCTGCAGAAGAAGGACTGCATGCGCAACTGCCACGCCCCCGGCTTTGCCAAGTGCAACTACACGACCGGCCAGTGCGTCAAGTGCACGCCAGACGACCCCAACTGCCGCTACACCAAGACGGAGTGCGACATCTTCTGCCACAAGTCGTCGGCACAGGGCACCTTCCGCGGCATTGAGATCAGCAAGGACTTCAAGCGCGGCGAGTGGGACTTCTCCTTCTTCGGCGACGGCACGGTTGCGTTTGAGCTGTACGGCACAAGCACCAAGTACGAGGCGCGGTTTGACGAGCACGGGTCTGCCAGCGAGGGCACGTCGATTGTGTTCACGGTGACGGAGGCGCCGGCCAACGGCCCGCTCGACATCAACGTGGGCGATGTGCTCAGCGGCCTCTTCATCAACGACAACGGCGAGAACCACATTGTCAAGTACATGTACCTTGGCCTGGGCACGAACGCAAAGGCCGCCAGCACGTTTGATGACGCAATGACCTCGTTTGAGTGGGTCCTCACGGGCTGCCAGGACAACGCCCCCTGCGACTTCAGCTCCTCCCGCCTTCCAGAGTAAAGGCAGCCGCGTGAACCTGACTGTGTGTGGGAAGACGTGTGTGTGTGTGCGTGTGTGCAGACGTGTGTGTGTGTGTGTGTGTGTGTGTGTGTGTGTGTGTGTTCTCGTGTATGTGTGTGTGTGTGTGGCGGCATTTGTGCCATGCATGGCACACAATGTGACGCTGCAGTGCAGAGCAACTTGTCCTGTTGCCTGGTCCCGTCTTGGTGCGTGCTACCGAGTCTCTCGCACGACGCGCGCACATTCCCATGTCGCAAGTACATTTCCATGTCACACGCTCTCGTTCTGGCCCACCCTATCACGCTGCCTTGTTGTTCTTCATTGTTGTCACAGCAACAACTACAACAACACCACCAACACCACACCAACACGCCCTTCCTCTCCCTCCGCTTGCAGTCATTGCCCTAATCGACACACACACATGCATAGCCCAACACCAATGCTCTGCTTTTCTGTGCTGTCTTCCTCCTCGCGTTTGATTTGGTGTTGCTGTTTCTTTTGCGTGTGTCAAGTAGTACCCCCTTCTCTCCAACCATCACGAGCGTGCTTGTTCACCACTGCCACCACCTCCTGAGTGTTTTGTTTGTCTTTCTCCCATTCTCTCCTGACCACCACTGCCGCCACCCGTTAGCACAAAGCGCAAATTAAAACCACCAACCAAACTTGAATGGTGCCTGTCATGCTGGTGGAGGTGCTGAGGGTTATTACGATCATCATGACGCTCGTTATCATTGTTGGAATGGGACATGACTTGACTCTATTCTATTGTTCAATGCCATGTAACAGTGCAAGGGTAGAGGGAAGGGCTACAGTCACATGACAGTACTGACTGCGTGTCCATCTTCAAAGCATCACACGTCACGCTGGCGGCTGCTGGTCGCGTGCGTGCGGCATGGCATGGTGGCACTGGGTGCACTGGCACACGCCTGTGATGTTGAGGTGGTGGATGGGGACTGCAATGCCAGCACGTATCATTTCAAGAAGATTCCACACGGTGAAGGGAAAAGATGGCAGTGACGTATCATAGCTGGTCCCGTGCACCTGGTTGGGCACGGTCGAAAGAGGTGGCATAGGCGCATGTGAGTGGAATAAGGCGTGGGTTGGGGTGATGTGGAGGGTGAGGCTGTTGCTGCGTGTAATGCTGGCTGATTCATAGCAGGGTGTATTGTGCGTGAGGCACAATTTGAACCATAACAGCACGGCAAAGGATCGAGCCCAACACACACACACACACACACACACACACACACACACACACACACACACACACACACACACACACACACACACACACACACACACACACACACACACACAGAGTCATTCTGCACCTTTGAAGGTGAGTCGCTTGCCGGCCTCGAGTAACGTGAGCAGCGTTGTGAAGAGTGGGCCACGGAAGTTGCTCCCCTTTTCCTGCGCAATCAAATCGGGGGTGCGCTGTGTCGCCACCTCCCACATCAGCACGCCAAAACTAAACACGTCCGCCTTGGCGTCATACTGCCCACCAGCCAACACTTCCGGTGCCATGTACAGCGGCGTGCCCACGCCAGCCGTCATTGTCAGGTGCATTGTGGTGGTGCCGGCTTGTGTCGTGTACTCAATGTCGCCACCACCGCGACTGCCGCCACCCGTCTTCTCCATTTCCCCGGACATGGGCGTTGTTGCCTGCGCTGCGCTGCTATTCAGCAGGCACTGCCGAATGGATCCGAAATCCGCAATCTTCGCCCTCAAACTGGTCGACACGAGCACGTTGCCACTCTTCAGGTCCCTGTAGCCGTGGTGTTGGTGATGGTGGTTGGTGGTGTAGGCGGTTGTGGTTGGTGGTGTCGGCGAAGGTTGTTGTGGTGGTGGTGGTGGTGTGTTGAGTGTAGGCAGAAGCAGTGAGAGGAAGGTGTTGGTGAGAGTGGAGGGCGCGGGGTCAAGCGGGTGCGTGCAGATATCACGCAGTCAGCCAACAAGGTGAGGTGCCCGGCCCGACATGGCCATGCAGACAACCAATGGAACAACCACAAAGACGAGAAGTACTCAAACACAACATCACCATCATTACCATTACCACCACCAAAACAGCGACAACATCAAGAAGAAAAGTGCCTCACCACCACCACGACCACCACCACCACGACCATCACCACCACGAGCACCACCACCACCACCACCAACCATCATCACAACATCATCACCAACCACCAAACATCGTCATCATCACCAACCACCATCACAACTCGAACACCGGCCTGACCTGTGGATGTGGCCGAGGCTGTGGATAAAGGCCATGCCTGCGCAGACGTCGCGCGCCAAATATTATCGTGTCCGAGAGGTGCGAAGGTTGTTGTGGTGGTGGTGGTGGTGTGTTGAGTGTAGGCAGAAGCAGTGAGAGGAAGGTGTTGGTGAGAGTGGAGGGCGCGGGGTCAAGCGGGTGCGTGCAGATATCACGCAGTCAGCCAACAAGGTGAGGTGCCCGGCCCGACATGGCCATGCAGACAACCAATGGAACAACCACAAAGACGAGAAGTACTCAAACACAACATCACCATCATTACCATTACCACCACCAAAACAGCGACAACATCAAGAAGAAAAGTGCCTCACCACCACCACGACCACCACCACCACGACCATCACCACCACGAGCACCACCACCACCACCACCAACCATCATCACAACATCATCACCAACCACCAAACATCGTCATCATCACCAACCACCATCACAACTCGAACACCGGCCTGACCTGTGGATGTGGCCGAGGCTGTGGATAAAGGCCATGCCTGCGCAGACGTCGCGCGCCAAACGAACCTTCAACTCCCATCCACTCTTCAACTCGCCCACACCACCAGCAACGGCACCGCCACCAATGGCGACAGCACCGTCACCAGTGTCACTGCCCTGGCTGGCGCGTTGTTGAGACTGGTATCGTGAAAGCACGGCGTCAAAGTCTTGCTTCTGCAGCATGGAGTTGAGGGATCCAAGAGCAACATACTCCAGCACCAGGAACGGGCTGCCGTTGGGGTCTGTGCCCGCGCCAAAGAATCGCACCACGTGCGGGTGCCGTGTCCGCTGCAGAAACTCCACCTCCTTCTCAAACTCAACCACCGTGCCTTCGTCAAACGCCATCATGCTCTGCCTCAGCACCTTCACCGCCACCATGACCGTGTCCCAGCTCGCAAGCCAGACCTCGCCAAAGGCGCCCTCGGAGCCCGCGTCAATGCGCCGCACAAACGCCAGCTCCTCGTGCCCAATCTCCCACGCCTTCTTCAGCGCCATCACCTCCTCGTCCTTCTCCTCAATCAGGCGCTTCTGCAGCTCGTTCTCCGTCAGCAGCAGCCGCCGCAGCATCTTGCCTGCACGGAACCGCCTGTACAGCGTGAGCGACCCAAAGGCGAGCCCCAGCCCAAGGAGTAGCGTGCCAATTGCAATGCCGGCCACCTGGCCCGTGGTCAGCACGTCCGGAACACACTCGTCGCCGTCCAGCCTGAATTGCGTGCGGCAGCTGCAGTCAAGCGCGTACGCCAGCTCCGTCGCCTGCACGTGCCCAGGCGGGCGGGCCCCCCGCACATTATCCAATGCAATGATGCAACCAATGGGCGTGCCCTCCGTGTTGAGCGTGATGACCTGGGAGCGTGCGGGGAAGTTGCTGCGAAGGTTTTCTCTGAGGAACTGGCCCTTGCCGATGACGGTTGCGTCATTCGCTGCGTCGTGCACAATGGACGGTTTGTCCAGCCACGCGTTGCCAGAGAGGTCAAGGAGGTCCACGCGGGCAAGGCACGTGCGGAGCAGGTGGGTGATGTTGTTCCTGTCGCGCAAGCCTGTGCTGATCAGGTTGCGTGCAAGCAACATGGTGCTGCCCCATGTGTCACACAGCTTGGGCGAGAACGGGATGCTCGTCTCACTGATGTCAAGCACGCGGGCAGACGGCACAGTGAGGTTGGTCAGGTGTGTGCAGCCGCTGACGTTGAGTTGGGTCACGGGCCCTGGCACATGCAAGAGTCGCAGGTTGCGGTTCTGCTGGAGGGAGAGCGTGTTGATGGCGTGGTCGTTGCACACGCTGATGAAGCGGTAGTTGGTGTTGGTGATGGCAAGGTGTGACGCACTGGGCAGCAGCACATCGCACACCTCGCGCAGGTCAAGCGTGGTCTCGGAGAGCCCCGGCCAGCCCACAAACAGGAGGCGCAGGCGGGCGTCCGTGTTTCGCAGCAGCGGCCAGAAGCTTGTAGGCACGTGCATGTTGGACACGTCAAGATTGACAAGCTGGCTGTCACGGATGACAGCGAGGGCGCCTTCATCCACGACCAGCCGGGCATCGGCGATGTGCGGTGCGGCCCCAATCTCCAGCGTGCGCATGGTGTTGGAGACGAGGACCTTGGAGATGTTGAGGGTGCGAATGTGGTGGTTGGACATGCGAAGCGAGGACAGCCCCGGGATGAACGAGATGTCAGGCACGCGCACAAACGGGTTGTCGCCAATGTCAATGTCAAAGACAGTGGTGCTGGTGATGTGGAAGGTGGTGAGGCGGTTGTCTCGCATGTGGAAGCGAAAGCCCTGCGTGAGTGTACCGAGCACGCGCTCGTCAAACGAGGTCAAGCGGTTGTGGGACATGTGCACGGCATTGAGGCGCGGCACGGTGGCGAAAACGCCCGGTGGAAGGGAGGTGAGCTTGTTGGAGGAGAGGATGAGTGCGCGCAGGCGCGTGGTGTTGCGCAAGAGGGCGGGGTGCACCTCCGTCAGCCCGTTGCCTTCCAGATTGAGGGTGATCAGCTGGGAGAGCCTGGAGAAAACGTTCGGCGGGGGTGACGAGATGCGGTTGAAGCTGAGGTCGAGGTTCATGACGGTAGTCAGCGGGTCAAACAGGGTGGCTGGGAGGTGGTCGATGGTGGCGTGGGAGATTGTGAGGAGAATAAGTTTCGGGGCGTGCGCGAAAGCATTTGCGGCGACGACGCGTAAGGGGTTGTTGCTGACGTCGAGCTGGGACAGGTAGCCGAGGTCCGGGTCCAGGAGCCGTGTGTTGAGTTGGGTGATGAGGTTGCCGTTGACTTTCAACTCCCGCAAGTGGTGCAGGTTGCGCAAGGCGCCCGCTTCCACAACGGAGAGGAAGTTGTTGGAGATGCCCAGATTGACCAGCCCATCGCAGCGGTCGAATGTGCCGGCACCCAGGCGCGTGATCTGGTTGTGGTCCAGCGCGAGCGTGTGCAGGCGCTCCAATTGAGATATGACGTTCACCGGCACGGCGAAGAGCGCGTTGTGCGAGAGGTCGAGCATGGAGACGATATCGCGCCGATGGAAGCGGTTGCGAGGCGTGGACAGCAGGGTGAGGGAGATGGACGTGAGGCTGTTGTTACTGAGGTTGATGTGGAACAGGCCCTCAAACGGGTTAAGCGTGGTGAGGGCAAAGCTTGGTGTGCGCAGGCCGTGGATGTTCACGCGAATCGTGCTGTTCCAGCGACCGGCGGCGATGACCCAGTCCAGATCGGCGTCACGCACGACGCCCTCGAAGGTGACAAAGGCCGGCTGGATCGCTTCTGTGAGCACGGTCACCTGGGTTACGTCCAAGTCTCCACGACCCAGGCTGGCCACAAACCCTTCCGCAAACATGTCGTCGAAGACAATAACGAAGCTGATGGCGCCTGGCTGGATGCGGGCTGGCGGGTGACATCGAAACGTCTGCACGATGCTTGACAGCGTGCACCGGACTTCGTCCACGAAACCTGCGGGAGTCGGTGGTGATGGTGGTGGTGTCGGCTGTAGTCCGGGGAACCCCGTGGGAAACTGCGGCAGCGGCATTGCCGTGCTTGTTGATAATGGGGACGGCAAGCCGTTGTTGAGGGTTGTTTGGGCGATGTTTTCCGCGGTGGTGGTCGTTGCTGCTGTTGTGCTGGTGGAAGCATCGCGCCTGCGCCTTTGGTTGCTGTACAAAAGCGGATCAGCAGCGGCGTCCTGGTGGTGGTCATGCTCACCTGTGTTGGCGTAGCTATCGTTCTTGGACCCAGCGGCTGGTCTGCTGCTTTCCTCCTCCTGCTTCTGCTGTTGTGGGAGGTGGAAGTCGGCAACCTCCAGTAGCAGTTGTTGTTGTTGTGACTGCTGGCATGCGGCCAAAACGACCCTTTGCACAGGCGACAGTGTGGCTGGCTGTGCTATGGTGGTGGACAGGTCTTGGTGTGTGAGGTTGAGCTGCAGCAAGGCCTGTTGGCACATCACGCCATCCTCATGCGCCATTGGCCCCGCCGCCGCCGCCGCCGCCGCCACGGTCATCACAGCTGCTGCTGCAGCTGCTGCTGCGACAACCAACACCACCAGCGCAGCCCGCATCATGATGAGCTTCAAGCACTGGTTAAATGCACTTTGTGGTGTCGCAAGACGAGGTTGAATGAGGCGGTTGGTTGCCACCATTCCAACAACATGAGCAGCCAACGTCGTGGTGGTGGTGGGTTTGACAGCCTTGCGTCTGCGAATGCTGCGGATGTGTTTGTGAAGCGGTTGAAAGGCGGGTTGCCCGGTCGTGGGTTCCAGCGCATGGACTACAGCGCTGTTCGTTCCAAGATCAAGGAGAACAGGAAAGTTGGTGCCCGTGCAGCGGCCAAAATCCACGGCATCAAGGTGTGTTTGTGCATGTTTGTTTGTGTGTGTGTGTGTGTGTGTGTGTGTGTGTGTGTGTGTGTGTGTGTGTGTGTGTGTGTGTGTGTGTGTGTGTGTGTGTGTGTGTGTGTGTGTGTGTGTGTGTGTGTGCATCTGCGAATGCGTGCGTGTGCAATGAAGCAGTGTCTGTTTGCTCGCTCGCTTGCTTGCTTGCTTGTTTTCTCGCTTTCTTGTTTGCTCGCTTGCTTGCTTGTTTACCCTCCTAGTCCTTCGATTCCCTATTCCCTCCGCTCCCCCATGCCCCGCACACATCTCCTTCCTCGTTCGCACACGCCGAAATCCTCAATCGTGTCGCCACCTCTCACACCCCCTCATCACTCCCTTCTCCTATTCTTTCTTCGCAGAAACAAAAGGAAAGCGTCGAGGCGTCCCGCCGTGATGAGTTCCATCGGCAAGTGTGGGCCGCAGAGCTGTCACGTCTCAACGCACTCAGTTCGCAGGCGCAGTCTGAGTTTCAGGAGTTCCTTGACAACCTGGCTGAGGAGAGCCGCAGCGAAGACCTTCTTCGCCTCATCCTCCACCACAACGACAACTGCCAAGACAGCGAGCGGCAGGCGGCCGCCGTCCGCCTCAAGTTCCACGATGCCCAGGCTGCTGTGCGCCGTGTGTATCGGAGACACCGCCAAGGCAACAGCTCTGCGCCAACCACACAATTCGGGCGAACTCCGCACGCGCAACAGCAGCAACGCAGCCGGAACGGCCATCGTCGCCACACAGCGGCAACAGCACGCTTTGGGCGCTCACCATCTCAGCGCCAACACCAACACCAGCATGCATGGGAGATGGAACCCGACGACCCAGACACGGCCTTGATTGTCGGCACACGCGAAGAGTTTGCAGAGACGCTTGCCGTGCTGAGCGAGCAAGAGTCTACACTGCTTGCAGACCTGGTGCAGCTTGGCTGTGTGGAGGGCTGCCGCTTCACGGTACCAGCAGCCTTCCAAGCAACCAGGGTTGATGGTGATGAAGACGCTGATGGTGATGGTGACGCTGACGATCATGGTGATGATGATGGTGGAGACGTAACATGCATGCGGGAGTTTGCTGCGTTTGCCCGCATGTGGCGGGAAGACCTCTCCACCATCTTGGACGCCTGCAACTTTCCAGACCTGAAGGTCCACCTCACTCAACTCTTTAACGTACGTCTCAGTGAGCTGTGCTCATGCTACCTTCGCTTCATGGGATTGCAAACACACGCGCGCACGCACTGGTGTGTTTCCTTTGGCGCCACATACACGCACACATACACACATGCGTCGGCATTTGTTTGTGGGGATTACACTCATCCAATACGCACGCATGCGGCGTACATGTGTGTGTGTGTGTGTTGACTGGTATACAGGAGAGTTTGCAGCACTGCCGTGATCGTGTTGTGGACCTGCACGACGCATATGTGGACGTCATAATGAACCCTTTTGGTGGCTGGGAAGCAAACGACCACTACACGTTCGAAGTCATCCTCAACGCCTACACGTCCCTCAAGCTCCCCTCCCAATTCCAGGTGTGAATGGTGCTCTGTTTGGGCCCGGGGGGTACTTGCATGTGCCCACGAGATGACCTTGTGGGTTGATTTGCACGTGATCGCGCAAGCGGACATGTGCACGCACACTCACAGATCAACGAATCCAACGTAACTCAACACACACGCACCTGCACACACGCACATACACTCACACACACACGCACATACACTCACACACACACGCACATACACTCACCCGCGCCCTCTTCCTTCAACCGACTTCAGTTCCAAGGGTTGTCGGCGCGTCAAATGGCGTTTGAGGTGCTGGCCAAGGCGCTTCCAGGAAAGAAACGACAGGCGCTCACAGATCACGAGGATTTCGTTGCCGCGTGCACCTTCTTTGCAAAGATGCAGCGGTGAGCTTATTGTCGCCACCACCGGGCACACGTGTCTCATGGTGTACTGCACACACACACACACACACACACACACACACACACACACACACACACACACACACAAGCTCGTATTCACCTGCACGTGCACACAATTCGCAACAACAACAACAACAACAACAACAACAACAACACACACACACACACATGTCAGGGAGGTTCGGCACGCCAACACGCGCGAGATGGGGGCGTGTCTGGATGACATTCGCGCGCTGCTGGCGGAGGAGTTGCAGCGGGAAGAGGAGAGGAAGCAAACACTGGCAGAGCAGGCGCGACACCAAGAAATGCAGCTGGAACGCATGCAACGTTTGCTAGAGTTGCGCCGCCTCCGCCTGGAACGCGTTGAACAGGAGATGAAGCAGGTGTGCAAGCACTACATGCTGACGTGTGTTGTGGAAAGTGCGTATTGCTGTCCGGTTGCTGGTTCTGTGTCTTCGTGTTTGCTCTCACTGTGTGTTTTTCTGACACATGTAAATGTACAACCAACTCCCTCCCACTGGTCCTTTTCTCTCTTCCACACACCACCACCACAACAACAACAACAACAACAACAACAACAACAACAACAACAACAACAACAACAACAACAACAACAACAACAACAACAACACCGATAGCAACGTGAGCTTGAGGCGCAGGCGCGTGCTGTGCAGCGCAAGGAGGAGCAGCGTGAGCACCGCTATCGTGAACGCATCGCCCGCGCAGTCAAAGCATTCAAAGGTGCGGCGCAGTGTACCTTGCAATGATCATGCACATGCTTTTGTTGGGTAGGTTTTCGAAGAAGCGGAAAGCGTGCATACCCACTCGCATGCAGCCAATCAATCACACACACACACACACACACACACACACACACACACACACACACACACACACACACACACACACACACACACACACACACACACACACACACACACACACACACACACACACACACGAGTGCCCTCACACATGCACACGCACACAACACTCACGCGTGTGCGCTGGCAGAGGACAAAGCACACCTCGAGGCCCTTGCAAAGGAGCAGGAAGAAGGAAGGCTGCAGCAGATTCAGGAACTGAAGCGACAGCAGGTCACAACGAATGATGCCGGTTGTTTGTGTAGCGCCCACCACATCTCGTTAGCTACTTGTTTACTGCAGGGAGTACTGCGTGTGCATGCTCACCTCGTGCGTGGTGGTGCTCGCCATGTGTGCAGGCGGTGGAGAATGCAGAGCGTGTCTCGTTCAGGCACGGCCAATACGAGGAGAAGTTGGAGGAACGCGAGGCAAGGAAGGAGGAAGAATCACGGGTTGCTCGTGATAGGGAGGCGCGCCTTGAAGCACTTCGCAAACAGGTTTGTGCGGCGGCGCAAACAGCCGCGCGCGCTTGTGTGTGTGTGTGTGTGTGTGTGTGTGTGTGTGTGTGTGTGTCTGTCTGTCTGTCTGTCGTGTGCGCAAGTGCGTGTGTGTCTGTCTGTCTGTCGTGTGCGCAAGTGCGTGTGTGTGTGTGTGTGTGTGTGTGTGTGTGTGTGTGTGTGTGTGTGTGTGTGTGTGTGTGTGTGTGTGTGTGTGTGTGTGTGTGTGTGTGTGTGTGTCAATGCACCCCGGATCGGCTTTCCCGCGATGGCAGCACCTCACACGTGGTTTTGTTCGTCGCCACTGTGTGCATCCCCCCCCCCTCTCCCCAACACACAATGAACTCTCCCCCCCCCTCCCTCTTTTTCGACACGGGTGCAGGTGCGCCCGACAAATCTCCCGGATGACCCGGGCCGATTGCTGCGGCCAACAAAGGCCATGGACGCGGCGCGGAAGGAGGCAAAGCGCGACCGCGAGATCAGGAGCATGCTGCCGAATATGGACGTCATTGGCTATGATGACAAGCGTATCACCGCAGACCCGCGCTTCAAGCTGGCGCAGGCGCTGAACAAGGCCGGCCTTGGGGTGAGTGAGGTGGATAAAGCAGGCATCCGACACGATGCACCAACGACCCCTGCGCCGATTTGCACGTGCAGTCTCCTTGTTGCATTTCCTCCTCGTCCATATGTTCCCCCACATCCCTACCTCATGACTGTGTGTGTGTGTGTGTGTATGTGTGTGTGTGTGTGTGTGTGTACGTGGTGACAGAAATCCGAGTATGCGCGCCAAGCAATGCTGTCGATGCCGGGTGCTGTTCAGCCGAGGCGAGATGCGCAGAGCACTCTGTTCCGGCCAGACGGCGGGTTTACTCAACGTTCAAAAAGGTGATTTTGTTGGAGATGGTGCAGTACCCTACCACCACGGACTCAGTCAACACACACACACACACACACACACACACACACACACACACACACGCACACACACGCACACACACACACATCCACGCGGCACAAGGTTTAACTCATTAAATGCACACGAGCATGCACGCGCAACGCGCTAGCAACACGCGGGAGAGGAGGTGAAGGGGTGTCAATCAAACAATAACCAAACAAACAAACAGACAAAACCAACGCAGAAAGTTAGTTATTGACATCCACAAAAATTCTTGATGACGTCACCCTCAGGTTTGCTGTGCAAGGTGGTCGTTGATGGTCTATAAAGCAGAGCATGTGAACAGGAGTGAACCTAAAGCCATCCATGCTGTGTTGTAGCTCCTCTCTTCAATGTGTGTGACACGTAATAATATAACGTGACCCAGCATGCCAACCAAGAGAGAAAAGAGTCACAGGCCCACCCAACACCTCTTCAGAATCATGCGTGAAATACCTCCGCAAGTTTGTCGAGCACAGCGACGCTTTGTTCCGGCTGGTGAGTGGCCGTCGGCAGGACATGGGCGTATTGGGTGGCAACAGGGTCATCGCCACAGATCTGCTTCCGACGAGCATAGGCCTCCATGTCCTTGCGAATATCGCTGAGCGCCACCCACTTCACCTCAGCAACCTCCCTGGGGAGCGGCAGCAGGGTCGATGCTGGCACATTGGTATCACCGCCGCCACCGCCTTGTGGGCGGGCTTGGAAGCAGATGCATTCGTGCTTCACAGCCACACCATCAACGGGGTCCGCTTCCACAGAGTGTGTCAGGATGGGCTCGTCATCGTCATTCACCAGGAGCACTCGAAGCTCAAACATGAGCAGCCGCCTTCAAACAAAGCACACATGTTGCAAAGGCAGAGGCGTGCTTTCGTGAGTGATTATCTTCACAAGACAGCAAGGACGGGGGGGGGAGGAGGGTCGGAGACAAAGACAATAAAAATGGGCACGGCACCGTGCAAGGCACCACACAAACTAGGCAGCACAGAATGTGCAGTACCATCCTTCCACCTCCACGAGAGAACCAGCTTGCACGTGCATTACCTTGCCGCTTCCATTGGAGACTCAAACCTTGATGCCGTGTTGAGAATATGGTTCATGTATCCTGGACACGTGCAAGCGAAAAAAAGACATATTGGGGGAGGGGGGTTGCAAGAGGTGGGTGAGTGACTGATACTCGTGTGGGAACAAATGTCAACTCGCGCACGCACGCACACACACACGCACACACACACACATACGTAACCGCACTCATACACATAGCCGCACTCATACACATAGCCGCACTCATACACTTACACATACACATTTCCCAATGCACATGTGCCCACCATTTGGCGTGCGCCAGCGATGACCGTCGGTGTCTGTGAGCACGTTGGCGAATTGCTCGCGTCTCTCAAGCTCTGCCTTCCCAAAGGCCTTGATGTCATCCCGCAGCTTGCGTACCAGCCCTGCATGCGTCTCCACCGTGGGTTCAAGGGGAGCCAGGGAGAGGTGACCTGTGAACCACATATTGAATTGGCATGCGTGAGGGGTCAACTATTAGTACAGTAGGATGTGACGGTTAGCACCTGCTCAGTCATTATATGTGCGTGTGCTCGCAATAAGCAGCAGAACAGGGATCTAGAGAGCACCTGCATCTCCTCACAGCTGCATCCCTCAAGCCCTCAGCAGACAGCAAGTCACCCACCGTTTGTGGCCAGTGCTTCCAGTTCCCCCTTCTCAAAAAACTGCCGGCCGGACTCGACAGCGCGCAGACACGAGCGGCAGTAGAAGGCAATGTCCTCGCTTGTGGTGGCCCTCTTCTGCAGCCGCTTGTTCAATTCGCGGATGGCCATAAACAGGTTCACTGCCCCCGCTGTGATCCATGATGCACAATCAAACCCCGCGAGAAAGAGCTGACAATGAGCCGCACCACGTGCATGCAGACAAGGCAAACATCACACAAAAACGCAAACACAAACACACACACACACTCACGAACACAAACACACACGCGCTGACTGCAAGAATGGGACACTGACAGGAGTCGATGCTGCGCACAAGCAGTGCCTCTGGCTCGTTTGTTGCTTCGTTCAATCGAAGCAGGAATGCCCAGACCATGGTGGGTGTGATCGTGTTGCCTC